GAAAGAAAGAAAGAAAGAAAGAAAGAAAGAAAGAAAGAAAGAAAGAAGAAAGAAAAGAAAGAGAAAGAAAGAAAAAAAGAGAAAGAAAGAGAAAAAGAAAGAAAGAGAGAGAGAGAAAGAAAGAAAGAAAGAAAAAGAAAAGAAAGAAAGAAAAGAGGGAGGGAGGAAGGAAGGAAGGAAAGAGAGAGAGAGAAAGGAAGGAAGGAAGGAAGGAAGGAAGGAAGGAAGAAAGGAAGGAAGGAAGGAAGGAAGGAAGGAAGGAAGGAAGGAAGAAAAGAACTGTCAAGGTGTAGCTTTCAGAATTCACCTGAAACCACGTCATGGCAAAAAGTCACCCAGTGCAAAATGTCTTTGCTGAGAAACCCCTAGCGTCCTTGACAGTTAAATGCCTGAGCACGGACTGAGCATGAGGTAGTCATTTAGGGGGCTAATGGCTTTCCAGGCTGGCACTGTGTAAGCATTCTAACAGCTTCCATTTTCTGATGAGCCCCTTGTCACCGTGCATTGACATGAGTAAGACTGTCAGATTTAGGATGTTAGGGTTTGTCATCTTCACAAGATGACATCAAAGATGTCTTCAAATGACGTCCAAACCGTGATGTTAAGTGCTAAAAGGTGAAAACTCAGAATAAGTTCTTAACTTAAACCTTTGAAAGACTTCACCATATCAAGTTGTTTCCTCTTGACAGGAAAGTAGTCCAGCTCACTCAACTGAAAATGAACTGCAGACTCAGCAGCCGTCTAAGAAGGCTTGACCACCAAAACACGGCTCTCCTGGGTTAGGCCAGCACTCACCACTGAGCCCTCCCTAACTCCCTTTTTACTTAATATCTGAGATGAAGTCTCAGTAAGTTACCAGGTGCCCCTTGAACCTGGAATCCTTCTGCCTAGCCTCTCAAATGGCCACTGAGAGATTCTGATATGTTGACCTACACTCATTCCCTATGAAACAACTTGGCTGTGGTCAGTAAACCTGCCAACTTGCCACTTGACCCCACTAGAGCCTGTATCTTCGTCACCTGTGTCATACACCACGTTTCTGTGTCTCTTCTCGTGGCTCCTGGGATGCCCAGGAATACACAGTAAGAACAGAAATGCGTTGTCAGCTTCAACTGTGGCAGTGAGCTCACGGCCTTCAGGTGACAGTGTCTTTGGGTCCAGTCATGCCCTAGATATCAGCTACTTTAAAAGGACCCCTGCCTGCAAAGCCTTGAAGAGATGCTTCCAGGACCCACCTGAGGACCCTTCGTGGGTTAGCTCAAAGGAAGAACATTGCTTAAGAAAGAAGGGGAAGGGGGGTGAGGGAAACATGGCAGTGGAAAGAGGAAGGCCAGCCAGGTAAAGAGGAGTCACATGGGCAGAGAAACGGGCTCGAGCTGGTCTTCGGGGAAGCCAACTCCAGTGAGAAAAGCTCTTCCCTTTTCTTCTGTAGTCGTTCATGTGTGAGTGTAGAGGCATGTGCCCACGTGTGCACACTGACTGCATGTGGAGGCCAGCAGCCAACCTGTTGGCGTCCTCAATTACTTGTCCACCTGACATTTTCTTGAGACAGGGTCTCTCATGGACCTTCAGCTAGTACACTGTGATAAGCTGGCTGGCCAGCAAGCCTCGTGAATCACCCTGTCTCCCCCTGGCCCACACAGTGGGGTTACAAAAATGCGGGCTGCACCTGGCTTTTTACACAGGGATCTGAACTTGGGCCCTCAAGCTTATGCGGCTAGCACTCAGCTGGGCCTTATCGCCAGCCCCTTTTCTAGTGACTGCCTTGTCAGAGTCCATATTGGTCTAGAACTTGAGGACACAAGTGACCTTCCTGCTCCCACCTCTTAGGTAACTGGAGTGCACTGTTACACCCAGCGTCCCTGACTTCTCTAAGATGTTCTTCTAGGGGTAACTCCACTCAGAAGCCACTGTGCCACCTCTCAGAAAAGAGCAGCAGGGACCTGACACAAAGGCTTCCAAACAGATGGCAATCTCCACCCATATCTCCCTAAGAACCCTGTGGGACAGAGTTGAGAGGTAAAGAAATTGGTCTTCTGGGTAGAAGGTGTCCCAACATTTGAAGGACAGGCCTACCAACCAGATGGCTCAGTAGGTAAAGGCACTTGTCACCAAGCATGATGACCTAAATTCTACCCCCTGGACCCCCAGAGGTGGAGGTAAGAACCCAAAAGTTGCCCTCTGCCCTTCACATGTGCATGTTCTTGCAAATAAACAAATTCGGTAATAATAGCAAGACCAAAACAGTCAGAGGGGAGCAGAATGGAGCCCTCAGGGGAAGGCCCTGCTGTCCCCCTTTAGGAACTTGATCTTAATTGTGGCTGGTGAAGTCACTCTTCCCCTCCCACTCAACTGACTCTGGTGTCAATGGGTGACACAGAGGCTCCTGAAGGGATTATTTAGGCAAGTGCAAAGACAAAGAGGAATGCAGAGCTGGGAGCAACCCAGCCTTGGGAGGAGGGGCGGCAGAAGCCACTAAAACCGTCTGCGGGGCTCCAGCTGTGCATATTTTCCACTTTGAGCACTCCGCATGTTTAGAAATGACTCGCTGCCTTAAGTAAAGGTGAAATACTAGCCTGGCAGTGGTGTGCAAGAACCCTGCATGATGTAGACCAGCTCAGTGAGAGCCCAGAGTCTGTGAAGCCACTGGGGATGTTCAAAGCTGTTTCTTTCTTTCTTTTTTTTTTTTTTTTTTTTTTTTTTTGGTAAGCTTTCTTCTTTTTTATTATCATTTATTACAATTTATTCAATTTGTATTCTGACTGTGACCTCCTCTCTCTTCTCCTCCCGAATCTGCTCTCCCTCCCTCTTCTCCCCCCATACCCCTCCCCTAGTCTACTGGTAAGGAGAGGTCTCCTTCCCTTTCTAGTTGAACCTAGCATGTCAGGTCTCATCAGGACTGCTTGCATTGTCTTCCTCTGTGGACTGACAAGGCTGTACTCCCCCCAGGGGGAGGTAGTCAGAGAGCCTGCCACCGAGTTCCTGCCAGAGAATGTCCCTGTTCCCCTTACTAGGAGATCCCCACTTAGAAACTGAGTTTATGGGCTACATCTGAGCCAGGGTTTTACATCCTCCCCATGCACTGCCCTTAGTTGGGGTATCATTCTCTTTTTTTTTTTAATTATACTTTATTTACTTTGTATCCCCCCTCTAGTTCCCTCCTTCCTCCCCTTCCAATTCCTCCCTTCCTCCCCCTTCTCCACATACTCCCCTGCCCAAGTACACTGGTAGGGGAGGGTTTCTTTTTCTTCCTTCTAATCCTAGTCTGTTAAGTCTCATCAGGAGTGGCTGCATTGTCTTCCTCTGTGGCCTGGAGGGAGGACTCTGGCTAAAATGCTCAATCCCCACTCCAAAAGGCAAAGAGGATGGACACCAGAAGAAGAAAACAGGAAACAAGTTAGAAGTCTCCCACAGAGGGCCTATGAAAGGCTCTGCCCTGCAGACTATCAAAGCAGATGTTGAGACTTATGGCCAAACTTTGGGCAGAATGCAGGGAATATTATGAAAGAAGTGGGAAATAATAGATCTGGAGAGGACAGGAGGTCCACAAGGAGAGCAACAGAACCAAAAAATTTGAGCACAGAGGTCTTTTCTGAGACTCCTACTCCAACCAAGTACCATGCATGGAGATAACCTAGAACCCCTGCACAGATGTAGCCCATGGCAGTTCAGTGGGTTCCATAGTAATGGGAAGAGGGACTGACTCTGACATGAACTGATTGGCCTGCTCTTTGATCACCTCCCCCTGAGGGGGGAGCAGCCTTACCAGGCCACAGACAAAGCTATTTCTTTTAAAAAGCAAAACTAGCGAGTTGGACCAAAACCTTGGAGAAAGATGTGAGAGAAGAGCCTTTTGTTGACATGTGTCTGGGAGCCAAAGGGTCCAGCCTGTGGTTATGGCAGATGCACCAGTCAGCAGAGGGAGAGGCCGGCTTGGAGTTTCCCTGTCTCCCTTCTCTCTGTCTTCCTTTTGCTTCTGGGCTCCTTCCCTCTTCTGCATGGTGGCAGCAGACTCCCCGAGTCCTGCCTCCCAGAAGCCAAGGGTTAAGGGTCTACTTTAAACAGAGGCCTCTATAGCTGCCCTTTTGAGGCTCCTCCCAACCTAGATAAAGAGCAAAGTGGCCTGGATTTCTGATGCCAAGAAGAGCCATGACCTTAGGAGCTCTGCCTGTGACTGTCCTCAGGCCCCAGAAGCTGCAGGGGTCTTGATGACCATGTTGTTCCAAGGCCCCCTGGCCTGATAGAGCCCCCCACATCCTGCCTGCTGGAAAGAGCCAATGAAGAGCTCCTGGGAGCCTGCTTAGCCAGCAAGGAAAAGCTGTGGGCATGGATTTGGGGGCCTTGGGAGCTGGGTACAGCTGCCCCACCTTTTTTGAGAAGTTTACAATTTACTGGCCTGTGCCTGGGCTGGTATAGACCTTGCTGGGGGAGGGCAGTGGTCAGAAAAGGATGGATGGAAAACACCTGGGGACCCATTCCCTCCTGGTCTGTCCAGTCTCGGGCCACTCTAGTGTGTCAGGAGAGGTAGGGACACATGGGGCCCTGGCACCCAGTAGCTTCTCACTCACAGCTGTAGCTGTGTAACAGCTGTCTTCCTCGGGCGCAGGTGAAGGCGCCATTGTGGCCACTTGCCTTGGCTTCATGACAAAGTAGTAAAGATTAGTGTCTGTGGCAAGGAAAAGCAGTTCTCTTTCTAACTCCCATAAGGGACTCAGGACACCTCCCAGACTGACTGAAGTGAAGCCTGAACATGGGGCTAGCCATCAGTTACCCAGAGACCATCTCTCTCAGGCCCGACAGGACTGAACAAGTCTGGGGTATGATGGGCCTTCAACATGTTTATCTTGCCGAATCGGTTGTTAATGTAAACCTTGTCCTGGAGGTGGTCTCCTGCCGAGTGGCCCTGGGGAGCTCAAGTTGTAGCCCCCCCCCCACCCAGCAGCAGAAAACTGAGCACTTGTCATAAATAAAAACTCAGCTTCCTGTCTCAAAGCTGCTGGTTCAGAAGCTCCAGGCGAGGGTGGTTCCTCCATTCTGTTTGAAACAAGGCCCCTCTGAGAGCCAGGGTCCACCTGTCAGTGAGGCTCTCGGCCTGGGCCCTGCCCAGTCTGTGCCCGTGGCTCTCTTCCAGCTGTCTTTTTCCCTGTCACCAGGCCCACGGCTCCCTTACCCTGGCACAAGCCACCAGCCTCTGTCTACCTGAGCATCTCTAACCCCTCCCTGACCCTCACTGGAGCAACCTATCCCTCTGACCCTGGCTCCCCAAAAGCCTTGTGTCCTGAATTCCTCACTTCATTTTGAACCTTCACCTCTTCCTCTTGTGTATTTCCACCTTGTAGCCAAAAATAGTGTAGTTCTCTTCAGGTCTGCAAGGAAAAAAACCCAGAGGGAATACTACATTCTACAAACTGCATCAAGGACTCTGCTCTGTCTCCCCTTCCCATCACAGGCAAGGAAACCAGGGCCCAAAGAAACGCTTGCCCACAGCCACTTGCTGGTTCACTTGGTCAATGCAGGGTTCATTGTGTGCTCTCCTCCTAGCTCCCTCCATCACCCTCCCTTTCGCAGGCTTAGCCCTGTCAAGTCCTGTCACCCTGTGCACCAAAGGTCCCCAGAATCCACAGTGTCTTCCGCTCCTCCCCACAACCTCCTCAGGACCTCCTCCTCCACAAACCTCACCATCCACACTGTTTTTGAGTTTACACATTTGCCACTGGGCCACAAGTCCTCATTTTGGTCCTCCTGGAGCTCCCAACTCTGGGATTAAACTGAGCCTTGAGGTATGAAGGGAGGAGGGTGACAAAGGAAAACCCCTCTACCCTCAGCATCTGTCTCCGTTCTTCCTCCTCTTACCCACCTGGTGAATGGAAGAAGGGTCAGTGGTCCCCAGAGCAAGGCAGGGATGGGTGGCCATCACCAGGGACAAGGGCAGCAGCACTCACCCATGAGCCAGCCTCGCCATCTTAGCCATCCCTTCCCCATCTCCTAGTCAGCCTTGTCTTCTCTGGCCTCCTCAGAGTAGCTCATCTTTTTCTCTCCTTTCCTCAGCAATGAACCATTGTTTAAACTGTCACTTCTGGGGAGATGCCTCCAATTTTAAATCTGTCCTTAAGCCCTGAGTGTCTGTTATGGGTGTTTTCTAGAACAATCCCTCGAGAAGCCTGAGAAGCACCTGCTCACACTTGCCTCTAGACAAGTGTGATGACCTGACTAGACATCAAGTCATCAGACTTTTGACTGCATCCAGATTGCTACCCTGCTCTGTCCCCTGGCACTTACTCTGTTAATTCCTTTTACTGTTAAGAACTTTCCACACCTCTCCCTACATTAAGTTCCTGTGGGTCCAGGGACAAGGGATCCATCCAGAAACATTGACTCCAAAATACTGAACTGCCAATTGCTATCATTCAGAGCAGAGATCCATTGCCTCAGAAGGAGGTGTTCTTCCTGTGTGCTGGTCCAGGGTCTGGAGGGAAGAGCACCCTCTGTGACCAGCTCACCCCCGCTGCTTATAGGACAGAGGGGACATCAGACCAAACGACAGGGCTTCCCCTCCCACTGTGGAGTCCCTGTCACGGACCCTTCAGGAAGGGTTTTTCTCCATTCACACTTCTAAGATGGCAGTGCAGCTAGAATGGATGACTGAGTCAAAGAGCTTGGACTCGGTGAGGGTTGGTGTGACAAGAGGGTGCTAAGGTGAGGGCTGGTATGAAGCTCAGAGGGCGGCATGCTGAGGGCAAGACTAGAAGGCCACACATGCACTGTAGCAGCCACCTTTCTCTCTGAAGGAATGGCCTGTGCTAGTCTCCTTCTCAGCCTCTCTTGCCACAGAAGCCCTGCACCCCTCCTCCCATGCCTGAGCACCTGTCGTCTGCCAGCTGTCCATGCTAACCCGAGAAATGGAATGAAGAGCCTTTCTTTAAACTGAAAACCCTTTGTCCTACCCTCTACCTCCAAACAGAACCAGCCCCTCTCCGCTGTCCCTCCCTAGAGTCCAGGGAGTTGTGTTGGCTCCCTAACTGACCAGCTATGGGCTTCTGGTTTTCTCCTCAAAAAGTGAGCCCTGCAGAGCATCGCCTGCACTGCCTCATTGGAACATGCTTTTGTGGAAGTGGCTTACCATTAACAAGCCACACCCCCACGATCTCATTAGACCTGCTCAGAAATGTTGGTGACAAGTGCGAAATCGTTCTTCGCCTCTTACAAATGCAGACCACGGCTCCCTCAGGACCAGGGTCTGCCTGCTACACGGCCACCTGTGGCTGAGCAGGGATTTAGCCTGTGGACTGCCCCAGCCCCCAGTATGCAAGGGGCCGCCATGGCAACCTGCTGCCATTACTTTAGCAAACAGCAACTTTTCAGTGTGACTACAGCTTCAGTGACATCGCTGGGGACTCTGGGGACTCTTAGTAGCTCAATTGTCATGTCTTATGTGAGTCGTAAGGAAGAGCATGGCGGCATCACCAGCCTCGGTAGTTAGCCAAGGATGAGGAAGAGCCAGGAAGCATTCCTGGGCCACTACCGGCTAACGGCCACCACATCCTGCTGGCACAGCAGAATGCAGGTCTATGACCCTGACAGATTTGAACTCACACTCCGGAGAGCTACAGGAACTGCCATGGTGGCTCCTGAGTAGCTAGGCTGACTCCAGATCCAAGCTTCCTGACTCAACTCCCAGGGTCCTCCATTCTTCGGTCTCCCCTGGCTTCTCCCTCCATCTCTATACTCACCTCATCTTCAGCAGAGCACTGCCTGGGGTGGCACACGCTGCCTGAGAGTGGCAGGCATGGTGTGGCACGCACCACGGTACCATCTCCACCATGACCTATGAATAGGGAATCCTCCCCACAGGCCAGGACACCCCACAAATGTGTGTACACTCACGACTTGTCTCGCCTGCCGAGCCTCCTTGGAGGGCTTGCTTGTCTCCTTCGGGGAGACAGGGATTTCCCCCGGCTTCTCACTTGGGTTGGAGAGTGGGCACTTGCCGGTTTCAAGATCTGAAGAAGATAGAGGACTCGGCCACACTAGATCCTTAAGCACCCCATCTCTCACCTTCCCCAGCACAACACCCCAGCTCCAGCCCGCCCAGGACGCACATTCCCCTCATTCTGCACTGGGAAAGGATGAGGGCTCCACTTCCCGAGAGTGAGCCCCCTTTTCTGTGGAGGGAGGGGAGCCGATCCCTGGCCCTCAGCCTCCTGGAGCTGTCTGCTTAGAAGTCTCACCCTGGGAGGCAAAGTCTCCTCTACAGTACTGAACAGCAGCTCCTGCTGCTCCTCCCGCAGCCCACATTTACCACCCAGGCCCTGAGGAGTGAAGACAGGCAAGCCTGAGTGGAATAGCCACGTCTCAGTGTCCCCGGGGACAGCTGTGGACACAGCTGCCTCAGGCTCCTCCCACTGTTGTTCCCCATGATGGAGAACATCCTTGAACTGTGAACCAAAATACTCTCCCTCCCTCCTGTCCGTACTTTGGGGTCAGGGACTTGGCCCTGTGTGTAGAGTAGCCGATACAAATGGGAAGGAGGCCCCCACACCGCATGCGCTGGTCCCGGCACCCACCTTCATCCGCATGTCCCTGGCGTACTTCTCCAGCTCCTTCCTGATGTCAGCCCGCAGCATCTTGGAGACGTTGAGGACAAGCTGCTTCCACTCAATGGGCTGGAAGCTGTGAGGCTCGTGCGGCACGTACAGCCCGAGCTTGACCTTCTTGACTGTGTGCAGGTACTTCTTATAGGAGTCTTCAAAGTCAAAGACAAGGTCGCTCAGGGTCCGAAAGATGAGCGGCTTGTCCATCAGCTCGGCCCTTCGGCTCATGCCCAGGGAGCCGTAGTAGCCGTTGTGGTAAATCCCCAGCACGACGTGGTGAAAGTAGTTTCCTGAGAAGTAGGTTTTAAAGCTGATGGGGAACCGCTCGACGGAAGGCTGGCCGTTGGTTAAGTAGCTCAGGCAAGCGGAGTCAAGGGACAGACGGAGAACACAGCCTTCCAGGAGGTACCACTCCTGGGCCCAGGGAGTCACCCCTCACACTGCCCCCGCTCCTCCACTCCCACCCTCCCACCCCCTGCTCCACCTGCACCCTCCTACCCCCAACTCCTGGAGCTCAGTATCTAACCTTTCCTGGAATTTGCAGTATCTTTGAGTATCAAATCTGGTGTATTACCAAAACCAAGCAAATATGGGATGTCCACATCTCACTTCTGAGGATGGCCTGGACCCCTGAGCACAGTCCTAAGTGACTTGCTCCTGCTCACTGACTCTCTGTTCTCATCTCCTTATCTGACTGCCAAGAGGCCCTGGACATTTTTGAAGGATACATCCTGAAGCCATAACAAATGCACAGGAGCCAGGAATGGTGGCACACACCTTTAACCCCAACCCTTAAGAGGCAGGGCCTGACAGATCTCTGAGTGTGAGGCTAGCCACAGCTACCTCATGAGACCCTGTGCTAAGAACAGTTGAGTCCACTGTCCTTAGCGCATACATCCCGGCAAGGAGCTGAGTTTAGATGACATGGTGGTTTGGACGAGACTGGCACCCACAGGCTTGGGTATCTGAATGGCTGGCCCAGTTGGCAGAACTGCCTGCTGGGGAAAGACTAGAAGGCGTGTCACTGGGCGTGGGCTTTGCGAATCAAAATCCCACACCATTCCCCATCAGCTCTCTCTGGCCTGGCCTCTCGGTCTGTTCTCCAGATGCAAGCTCTCAGCCACTGCTCCAGAGCCACGCCTTCCTGTTTCACCCTCTGAAACTGTGAGCCCCCAAGTGTGCTTTCTTCCATCAGTGGCCTTGGTCAGTGTCTTTCCACAGCAACAGGGTGTAGCTAAGACAGGGACCTTCAGATGACTTTTACATAGCACAGTATACTAGGAAACTGTGAGATACAGTGGTACAGGCTGCAGCTGAGCAGAAAACATTTACCTCACCAGCAGGAGGCCCCAGGCTCATCCCTCAGTACAGCTAAAAGACAAAGTGATACCAAGCACAGTGCCATAGGCCTGTCATCCTAGCAGCTGGGAGGCTAGAGGAAGTGCAGGGCCAGGCAGGAATAGATAGCAAAACCATCTCAAAGTACTTATGACACTTATTAAAACATGTAACTAAACAAACCAACCTAGGTTGCTTACTTGTGGCAGGGGTAGCTTTCAGCTTCTCTCCCAGGAAAGCCTGCTTCTCCCCGTGCACCTGGGAGCAAGCAGTCTTCCCCGTGGATGGCCATAGCAGCCGTTCCTCCAAAATACTTGACATAACTCAGAAAGAATTTTAAGGTCCATGTGTGGCATGCCCGGGAAAGTGTGCACACACATTAGTTAGCCAGCTGCAAAGTGGCTGTCCAAGGGACCCTGAGCTAAAGTGACAAGACATAAAAACAGGCTGGGAGGCAGCTTAGTCTGTAAAGACTCGCTGGGTTCAATACCCAGAACCCAGGTTTGTAATCCCAAGCTGGGAAAGTAGAAACAGGCAGATTCCTGGGGCTCACTGGCCAGCCAGCTTAGCTCACCTGATGAGTTCTGGGCCAGTGGCAGATGCTGCCTCAAAACGACGGACAGATAGACAGACAGACAGATAGTAAACAGATGATAGATAGATGGATAGATAGTAGACAGATTATTAATAGATGATGATAGATAATGGGTGATAGATTAGATAGATGGATAGAGATGATAAGCTGATAGATGGCTGATAGACAGACAGACAGATACCTGAGAACCCACAGCTTAAGTTGTGCCCTGGCTGCACATGTACCTTCACACACACACACACACACACACACACACACACACACGAAAAAGGAGGACAGGTGACTAGAAGTCAGCCAAACCTATCAGCTATCAAGGAAACGTTTCCCAGATGGCGGGAAGCTCTGGGAGACACTGTGACCTGAATCACTCTCCCATCCCCAGGGGAAAGCAAGACAGCTGAACGCTGACACAGCGGAGCTGTAACTGTGGATGGAGGCTGTGCCAAGAGTCCAGTTTCCCTGAGAGGAACTGCCAGAAGCTCCCTCACTGCCTTGCTCTTCTCTGAAATGTCAGAGGTAAGAATAAAACCACAGGTCCTGGCCTCCTAGGTCTATTCTGTCCAAGCCTCCAGGTGATTCCAGGACTGGATGTTCAGATGCATGACAATGCCCAAAGAACATGGTGGCCTATGCACGTGCGTACTCAGAGGGAGGCTAACGTGGCTGAACAGAGCTTCCCTATGCAGGGAAGGGCCCAGCCTCCTGTCCCCCATGGCCTCTAGCCTACAGCTCCCCAGCCAATGGTTCCAGCAAGAGGCTCTGCTAGCAGTGCAGCTAACTCTTGCCAGTGAAGAGTATGGCCCTGAGCTACCTGTAGCCCACAGCCTGGCCCCCTGCTGGACTCCCTAATGTTTCCCCTTTTTATGTGGAGCAGGGAGAAGAGGCTTCAGAGAGACTCTGGTTGCCATTTTTCAAATGCTAACTAAGGCATAGATAGATGCAGTTGGCCATACTTAGGTAAGACCCTAAGGTGCTCTGCAAGGGGCAGAGAAGCACAAAACTCCCTGTCCTGTGGAAAGGTCCTGTAGGAGTGGGTGCATGGCCCTGGCTTTGAAACCCACCAATATATACACACACAAAGTGTATACATAACAAAGCCTAAGACCCTATGTAAATCTGGGGCCAGAAGTGTGGCTCTCTGGGGTTAGCACAGACAAAGCACTGAGTTCGGTCCCTAGCACTTCAAAGAGCAAAAACAAAACAAAAATGTTCAAGAGGGGCTGAGGAGAAGGCTCAGTTGTTAAAGTACTTGGATCCCTGCGCCCATGTGAAGGAGTCAGGCGTGGTGGTACAGGTTTGTAACCCCAGAACTGGGGAGCAGAGACAAGGGCCAAACCAGGGTGCTTCCAGTTTAGTATGAGACCGTGCTTCAAAAGCCAGGTAAGTGATTAGGGGCTGTCTCAATGGGCTGAAGCTCTTATTGCACAGGCAAAGGACCTGAGTTCAATACCAAGAACTCACAGAAAGTCAAGCACAGCCAAACACAGCTGGAACCCCAGTTCCACTGTGAGCGGCAGGCAGGAAGGGCCCTGGACGCCTGTGGGCCATATGGTTTTCTGGGCCCAGTAACAGACAAGGAGACCCTGTCTCAGATGAGGTGGAGGCTGACCACCAACACCAGAGGTTGTCCTGACTGCCACACTCATGCCACAGCAAGTGTGTGCCCACACTTACAAACATACACGCATACACTTATACACACGTTACACAAAGGCAGAGAGTGATAAAATGCACTGATGTTAAGCCGCTCCCTCTGCATCCACACACGCAAACTCTGGCGTGCGCATCTGCAGCCAAGAGCACACACATCCATAGAGCACACAGGTCAAGCACCCTCTTGTCCCATCTCATCGTGAAGTGCCTCTTCCACCGATCCTTGTCTCCTTCCTGGCTTTCAGCCTTCCTCTGTGTTTCCTTAAGTCTGTGTCCTGCTTAGTTTTTATTGTCAACTTGACATGACTTAGGGTCACATGGAACGGGGGACCCTCAGCTGAGGAGCTGCCCCCAGCCTGCCTGTCCTGGCTGGTGGTTGGTGTGGAGGGCCCAGCCCCTGTGGCCGAGGCAGGTGGGCCTGGGCTGCATAAGAAAGCTGAGAACGAGCCAGGGTCAGGCCAGTGGCCTTTCTTCCTGGTCTCTGTCCTGCCTTCCCTCCTTACAGACTCCGACCTGGAACTGTTAGCAGGAATAAGCCCTTTCCTCCCCTGTGCTGCTCTGGCCCCGGTGTCAATCACAGCAACAGAAAACAAACGAGGACAGTCTCATTCGTGGGTTCTTTGTGTCCACCTAGATAAAATATTTTAAAGGTCATCCTTGATCATTTTCTCCTCATCCTAACTTGTCTCCCAAATATTCACATCACCCAATTTGTGTTTCAAGCATAGACCCGCCCTCTCAAAAGCCCACACTCTGAACACCCCATCCAGAACAGTCCAGATTCCATATTTCAGATCCAACCAGTCCACATCTGGACTCGCTCAAGTCCTTCCTTTGGGCCATGACATCACCATGTGAGACAGGGTGGGACCCACGGGAACTGTGGCCTGGACACAGCCCTCCCCTCAGCCCTCACTGCTTTTGTCCCCGTGTGTGACAGTCCTGTCAGTCTTGATTCTCTGAGCTCACCCTCACAGTCTATGGCCTGACAAGAGCCTGTGCTGGTTGACTCCTCGTCAACCACTGTGTCTGGCCAGCTTCCAAGTCCTGCATACTCAATCTCCTGGCAGCTCTGGAAACTACCTCATTTAAGCCCTTCCCACTGCCAAGGTCATGGCCAAGTATCACCGTCCTGCTGGTGAGCAGTCGCAGTGGGCTCTGCAGACTGAGCCAGCTGCCTCCACCCTGTCCTGTCTTCCAGAAAGCTACTCTAAGTGGGGATCCGGGATGAGAGCACCACACTCTCCCACTCGAGAGCTTTCTGAAGGCCACTTAGCATGGCACTCAAGAAGCCAACAGCTTTCATCTGGGGCCGACTACTAACCCAATGCCTTGTTCTGCTTCCTGCCTTCATGGCCAAGGTCTTCCCAATCAAGTACCCCACAGACCCGACGTTTCTTTGGCTCTTCTATCTGGTTGTGTTCACTTGCCATCACTATCAGTCAGGGTCATCACAGCTTTTCTGGACCAAATTCCTCTCAGGGCAAAGAGCCACGAATGTGGTGAAAGTGATAAGGCATTAGCGAGCAGGCCCGTGTCTACCAGGTACACACAGCCAGCACTTGCTCTCTGCAACCTGCTCACGCTTCCCCTGGTGATGGGTTTGGATATCCGCCCTCTTGGCCTTGACTCAACTCCATTTAACTGTCTTTCTTATGATAGTGTCAGGCAAGAGCCAGACTCTCCTTCTGAATGTGAATTCTCCTTGTGACGGCTGGCTCTAAGTCATTGGCCTGACCGTGCCGGACAGCGCCACAGATGACAGCTTAGAGGAGCGCTGGTCCAAGGAGCCCAGCATTGCTGTGTTCAGCTCCAGCCAGGTCACATGCAGAGAAGTACCAGGGGGTTTGGCTCTTTTCCCCAAGGACACCAAAGACATAACTAGGTCCAGAGCAGGGTCACAAAGCCACGACGCAGACAGAAAGGATACATGCCCAGGATGACTGCCTCAAGGCATTTGATAGGCAAGGACTCTCGGGTCATCTCTTTCGCCGTTTCCATTAGCCTGTGGGACAGAGCACAACAGATCCTCTCAGGACTTCTGCAGTTATGCAGGCCGTTTGACTGGCCTCAGTTCTCAGTCTGCAGGCGTGCCTCCACATGAGGCGTCATGCAGGGATCTCGAAAGGCAACAACTTACTTCCCAGGAAGACCTCAAAGGTCCTCACGCCTGCCCCCCACTCTCCCAGTTACCTCAGAGGGGGCGGTGTTAGCCCTTAACCATGGAGGCAGGGACTTTCAGGGATAGGCTTGCAGGCCTCTGCTGTCCTGAGTCAGTCTGGTTTGTTTGGTTTTGAGTTGGGGTCTCTCTATGTCCCCTGGCTGTCCTGGAACTTGCTATGTAACCCTGGGCGGCCTCAGACGCAAAGATCCACTTGCCTCCCAAGTGCTGATTAAATGGGTGTCAGCACACCTGGCCCAAGAGCCAGTCTTGACCGCTGGACTTTGCAGCTAGTCCTCAGTCTCACCCACAGCCTGGCCCTGGTCACCTCCACCCCCGGCAGACTAGAATCCTGGAGCCCTAGCAGACAGGGGCAGAAGCTGGGGGAGGGTGTTGGTGCTCACTGGAAGGAGAAAGTGCTGGCCACAGATCATGCATACTTACCCGCTCAGAGGCCTCATTTTCCTGATTTCAAAGAACTGGGTCCCTGTATGATTGTATCTGTGTGAAACATGTAAAGGGAAAGTGACAGAAACTCCAAACTCATGATTGCCCAGCAGAGGGCCACACGGGTTTCCATTTCTTGATGGGATAAGAAAGTAGTCATTGCTCTCCGGCCAGTGGCGAGCAGGAGCCCACGGCCCCTGACTCCCCGCTGTGCAGCCTTGAAAATCCAGTTTCTAACTGAAGCCTGCATGAGCCTCTGCCTTTCCTAACACATCATTCCAGTCTACCCTGGGTTCCAGCTACTTGACCACAAGTCTGAAGTTACATGCTGGACTAGAATCTCCTGAGAATTGGGAGTGTTCTTTCATCATATTTGGCTCACCCATAAAGCCTGGAGGTAGCTCAGCATACACAGGTCAGCAAATGTAATTCAATAAATGAGAATAAGAAAGTGAATTAACTAATGAGGGGGCAGCTCATTGGATAAACAACTGAAAGAATGGATAGAAAGGAAACAAGCAGATGGACAGACAGATGATGATAAGATGGATAGAAGAATAGTAAAATGCATGGACAGATTGAGATATGGATGATGAAAGAAAGGTAAATGGGTGAATAAGTGGTTGGATGAGTGGATGGATGGATAGATGGAGGGATGGATGGATGGACAAAAGGATGGTGTATGTATGTATGTATGTATGTATGTATGTATATGTATGTATGTATGTATGTATGGGCTGGCCAATATATCAATGAATGGAAGGAAAGATGGAAGAGTAGATGAACGGCAGGAAGATTTTTCAATAGCACACAGAACTTAAGAAAATATCACTTATTTCATGCCTGGATTGACACTTGACATCACTAATCTAAACAGATGACACACCTTGCTTCTGATCGATGCCCAATTCCCCAGAGCTAGCAAACCTGTATCACCAAAGACCCCTCTTATGCCTAAAACAAAATCGTATTTGTAAAGGGGAGGAGGTGGGGATACGCTGATGCTGAATTACTTTGCTTGCCTAGAGCTGCTATGACCAGCCGGTGCACAGGACTCCCTCACTGTCACAGTGAGGCAAGCAGCTTCAGGAGTGGCTACACACCGTGCTGCCCAGAGAGGAGCTAGGTCCCCTCCAGGCAAAGCGAGCAGGGAAGGAGCCTGTAGCTCAGAAGCGGATTCCAGGTGTAGGCCGCAGCTCATGACTTCTGCCCCACTTCTGACTGTGGACTGAAAACACGGTCAGGGCCAGGCGTGATGTGAACACGTTCAGCCTAGCAGCCATGACCTGGGTTCATAACAGTTCAGGCTTCCTTGATGTTTCTAAAATAAGATATTAAAAAGTTCTTAGCAGAGCTGGGTGTGGTGACGTACGCCTGTAATCCCAGCACTCTGAAGACAGAGGCAGGAGGGTTTCCATGAGTTCCAGGCCAGCCTGGTCTACAAAGTGAGGCCAGGACTGCACAGAGAAGCCCTGTCTCAACAAAAAGGAAACAAACTAACAAAAATAAATAAATAAAATCTCAGTGGTACTGTGACATTCTACAGCTTCCACAAGAAGATTGGAAGGGAGGTTGCAAGGGTGGAGGGCTGGTACAAGGGGAGGGGGAAATGAGCCGGATTGAGGTGCATGATGGGAAATTCACAAAGAACCAATAAAAGGTTTTTTTTTTTTTTTTATCTTAGTGGTAAAAGAAAAGCAAACAAACCAAGGGCTCTTATTGTGACGTGGTGCTTTTTAATTTTATCAAAGATTTCCATCCAACAGTAGGGTTCCCCAAATATTCAAAGTAGAATTCAATTTCTACAAAGTAATATTAATGAGTAATGAGAAGTTGTCTAGCCATCTTCTCTAAATTCCTGTGGCTGATAGCTGAGCTTCTGGAAGTTTCTCTCAAGCCTTCCCTGGATGAAGCACACAGCTCCTGGGCGGGCTTCTCATACCTAGCAAAGCCACGGGGGCTCCCTTTCCAGACACAAAGACTGGCATTCTCGCTTACTGCCACTCACGCTCTGTTCCAGGGAAAGGCAGGGCTGCACCCATCAGCTGAGCACGTGTAGGTAGGAATGACCCCAAGCAACGCCCACATGCTGGCACCCATGTCCAGGACACAGCAGCCAGGCACCCCAAGAAAATAAAGACAGCAGGACAGAAGTAAAAGTTTCTACTCTGCCTCCCTGATGACGGCCCCAAAGACCTGAGGACCTGGTCCCCAGGTTCCCTTGTGCTTTCCACTGCATGCTCTGCAGCTAATGGTCTTGGCTGATGGGTCAGAGTAAAAGTAAGAAAAGGGCCCTTGGAGAGCAATGCTGAGAGCTACGCTGAGTGTGTGGCAGGCTTTGTATCAGGGAGAAAAAATGATATGCAAAACACATGCAAATTTGTCCCTACTGATGAAGCCCAGCCAGGCTCATTCTCCTTGGGAAGCCTCGTCCTTGACAGAAGTAAGAGCTGTCCTAACTTCAGGTCATCTGGAATGTTTGGTGATGAGGAGGGTTGGCTCTTGAGGCCTGGGTCTATATGGGAAGGCGTTTATGCCCTCCACCACCACCACTCCATGTGGAGTCTTGGTCTGGATACAAGCAGCAATACCCAATAACCTTGGTTGGGCCTGGGGCTGCCAGCCTCTCTGGAGGGAGCTACCATCTCCTGACGAAGCAGCCAGCCAGGGGAAGATGCCGGATAGGAAAGATGACCTGTGAGGCAGAAACTGAGAAGCTAATCAACTCATCAGCCTTGATGATCAGAACAGGTGCTCTTCTCCAGGGTGATAGGCTGCCCTTGGAAGATGTTGCTGTTTGCACCCTCCAGCAGCCTGCAGCAGAGAATGGGGGAACACAGGCTCCGAGTTTCTGGAAGTCCTCCCAGACTCAAGGCTGGAGGGAAGCATGCAGAGAGCCAGCCAACAAGCCTGGCCTGGTCCACACAAGTCAACCCAAGTGCAGCTCCTTAGCAGCACACGGGGACTCCCCATCTCAGTGTGTGTGGACCATCTCCTCTGCCCTTTGTCCCCAACGGCACTGCTTCTGAGGGACCTGCAGAACTGAGCTAACCCAGACTGTAAACAACCCAAGGGCACTGAGGAGGCCAAAAGCATGCCTGCACTAAACCCTTAGGCTCCTCAGAAGCTTTCAGTTCCAGCTGAGGCAGGGGCCCCATGGCAGAGCCACCCCCACTCCCCCGCACATACAGCTGGGACCGAGTCTCCTGCCTGGGTTGTCAGGAACCAGAGGCAAAGACAGACAGGTGTTTTGGTGTCGTGAGAGGTCAGGAATGAGTTAAAACAAGCGAGAAGAAAGCAAGCCTAATCATGTAGCAAAAGAAATAAGCAAAGACAACAGTGGAGAAAAGGGAAGGAATGAAAACACGGGCCACCAGGGAAGGCAGAGGCAAGGACAGGGAAGAGGGAGAAAGAAGCCACAAGCCTCAAGGTGGACCAGCTTCACCTCTGCTTTCGGGACAAGCCCTGGTCGTTCTGGTCACCCAAGGGTGCTCTTCCAACACCTGTCTTCACCAACCTTACAGAGCTCTGGATGACCACTAGCAACAGACACACAAGCCTGCAGTGGCCAGTGCCACCCCTGGTCTGGGGCACCCAGCGGCCGGCTGGAAGGATACTGTAGTGTCTTCATGTAATTCTGGATGGCCTGGAGCCAGTCTGGGATCGTCATGGACAGCCTGTAGTTTGGGACCTGGGGAACTGAAGGCTGCAGAGAGAGAGAGAAGCGGCTCCTGTTAGTGAGGGCTTGCTTTGGCACAGCTCCAGCAGGAACGGGGCTGAAATCAAGTGGGAGCCACTCCTGGGAGCAGACACACTTGGTACAGTCACCTGTGGCCACGGTGCCCCATCACCCCGCCGCTGAAGGGCCTCTAAGCTCCCTCCAGTTACACCCCACTCCGTCCGGGGCCTCGGTTCTCTGCGGCCCTCCTGACATCAAGGGTAACACAGCTTGCCTTTTCGAGGGAAATGTAACTGCCATCCTGGGGCCAGGGACCACGTTCTCCGGGGTCTCCCACTGAGACTGGCCCAGAATGGACCCCGAAGCACCTCACTGCTCCTTATACTTCCATCACACGGTCCAGTCTGCAGCACGGCGAAGAGTGACCCTGTTACATGTGCTCCCTCGTGACCATCGCCGACACAGGGCACGAGGCAAATAGCATCCCCGACAGCCAACTGCAACAGACTGGTACACTGGCCACCGCGTCACCTCTGGACGCCACACCCCTCTCATGTCCACTGCTCCCTCCCTGAGCCCTTTCCCGAGATTAAGGAAGGCGCTCCTCTCGTCTGACTCTCCTCAGGGAAGTGCTGTGCCCCTACCTCACGAGCCTCCTTACCCCATCCTCGAGGCCCAGCCAACTCCCCCAGGGCCTACAGTCGGCCCTCAACCTAGCCACTCAGGCCTCCAGCCAGCCAGCAGCACGTCAGCGCTTCTTTGCCCCACTGAGTCCTCATCTTCTCCATGATTGCGGTGGTCCCTCTGGGCACAGGTTTGAGAGGGAGACTCCTCTAGGCGTGGGCTTCTTCAAGAGAAGCAGGAAGTGTGGAAGGCAAGATTAGCCTCGTCCTGGGAGAAAACGGGGCCAGCCTTGCCGACGGGCACAGCCCCACCGGGCAGCCGTGCCAAACGCCACGTGGCTCTCCGGGCGAGGGCTCGAGCACAGTGAGGGGGGGCGTGGTGAACCAAGCTCAGGCGAGCAGGCTCTCCCCCACTTGTGCCACACTGGCTGCATTTACTGCAAACAGTCTCTGCCCACACCTCCCTCTCAGCGCCTCCGCTCAGCCTCCACTGTGAGGCATTCTAACTTCACAGAAACTGCCCTTTCAGCTGGAAGGGAAGCAGTCACACTAGCACATCCAAACCAAGGCGCTAAGAGTGTGAGCATGGCTGTGTGGGCACACACACGCCCAACTGTTCTTCAAGCTACAGTTCATCTCTAACACCTCAACTCAGATTCCCTGTCTGGGAGAGTCACTTTGGAGGGGAAAAGGTTCCAATCTGAACGTTTGTTTCCATGACTTCAGACTCTCAGACTCTCTCTCTCTCAGATCTCTCTCTCTCACAAATACTCCCCCATAAACAGTTTCACATACACACATTCACACATGAATTCTCTGTCCAACAAACACTAGCAATTGCCGAGACTTCCTTGTTTTTTTTTCACAGTAACACCCACATGTCTACCAAAGCTCTGTGAAAACGGACCGGAGGTTTCAAAGAGTGGTGAGAAAGTTGGCCAAGGATCAGACCCTCCTGAGCCTCTCCACATTGTGAACTCCAGGCCAGGTACAGGGCAGGAAGTATGGGATCAGGAAAGGAAGAGGGAACTTTTGTCACAGAAAAGTGAAAAGCAAGGGACATAGAGCAAGTTCCTGCATACATCATAGCCAGTGATTCGGCTTAGAGTCCACTTAGGGAGCTGATCACAGAGTTATTTCAAGCCCCGTCCATCCCAGGGAGCCCACAGAGTTGGGTGTGAAGGCAGCTGGGCCTCAGAATAGCAGCCAATGGCGACTAAGGGATTTAGGAAACAGCTGCAGCTACCTCAGCTGCCGGTGCTCACATTTGCTCCCAAGCAGGACAAATGTAAGCGCTCCCCACGTGGGCTGGAGTGGGGTGTGGCAGGCAGAGCCAAGGTGCTCAGCGCATCAGCTGTTGTCAGGCAAGCTGGCTGGGGCCCAGCCTGGGGCAGCTTTGAACAGCACCCTAGGCAGCCAGGGTGGAACTGGAGCGCAAGCCAGAGGGGCCCCTGAGAGTCACACACAAGGGTTCAAATCCCTGCTCTGTCTCTGACCAGCTGCATCCAGGTGAAATAACATGGCTTCTGGTGCCCTTGGAACCGCTGTGAGGACAACACGGCCTGCTGTATGAAAGGCAGCAGGGCAGAGGCTGCACAGCGCACACAGGCGTGAGCTGCCGTTGTTACCCACGGTAGCCTGCTCCCCGGAGCTGGACTAGAAAGGCTCAGAATCAGAGGGGCCCCAGTTCCCAGACACAGAACCCTGAGGCTTGGCTTCCTGAGGATGTCTTCCTACCCAGGAGGTGAGAACATCCACTCGGCTGCAAAGTGCAGCACAGCTGATGGTGAGGTGGGCGGTGACCAGCTCATGGCGACTTCATACAGTCATAAGAAACCTCATTAGTCCTCTGTGAGAAGGGGAGGCCAGCTCAGTGCCTGCAAACGAATGAATAAACACAACTCCATCCTGACACAGAGAAATGCTAGTTAGCTTTCAAATCAGGCACACACTGGGGACACACTGAAATGTGGGTGAACCCTGGAGCAAGGCAACCTCAAAACAGCCAATTCCGGGTCAGGGAGACACTCAGCAGGAGGCCTTTGCCACCAAGCTGCCGAGCTGAGTTCAGTCCCCTGAACCCACATGATGGGAAGTGACCAACACCTGTGTGACCTCCACATGTATGTCCTGGTGTGCGCGCACACACACACACACACACACACACACACAATTCTAAGGCAAATACTATACTCTCGCATAGTGGTCAGATTCATAACCAAAGTGGAGAGTGGCTGTCAGGGCAGTGGGCTCTGGGCAGGGAGTGGAAGTAAGCTCTGGGCAATCAGTCATTAGTGTGTTTCAGAGGAGGAAAGCAGCAGCTTTGCAGGTTGATGGTGGGGATGGATGCATAGCTGTGTGCATGTCCTTTATGACACAGAACTTGACACAGAACTTCCCATCACTGTGACAAAGCACCTGAGATCATCAGCTTAGAAACAACAAAGGTTTATTTTGTCTCGCAGTTTCAGAGGGTTCAGCTGTTGTCACTTGTACCTATGGCTTTGGAGCTCAGCACAGCATGGCAGGAGCATGTGGCAGAGGAGGTCTCTTCACCTCAGGGAACCCAAGAAATGAGCAGAGAAAGGAGGACCAGTGTCTGATCCTGGGGCATCCTGCCCAGTGTCCAAGTCCTTCCTGCTAGGCCCCATCTCCTAAGAGCATCACAGGCTGGAGCTAAGCCGTCAACATGTGGGCCTTTGGGGACATTCGGGATCCAAGCACCAGCAGCCGTCCACTCAGAATGGCTGAGAGACAGGTGACGGATCATGTATTTCACCATAAGAAACAACTGACATCACAAAAAGTGCTTTACTAAAGCAAATAATGACTGACTGGGAAAGGCTGAATTTACTAGTAAGACAAACTGAAGCTCCACAAAGTGCCCTCCTCTGCTCTTCCTGTTTGTCACCACACTCTGGAGGGCACATCTCAGTGCTGGTGAGGAGAGCCGGGGACGGTTAAAGAATTTGGAAAAAGAGGCTATGGGGTGGACAGAGAAGAATGAGAACTACAGGCAAGAGTCTGGCAGTGTGCCCTTCACTTCTCGCCAAACGAAAGCTGACAGAAGGCAAGACTTGGGAATGCACAGATATGTAACTGGCCTGGCCATGAAGGGGGACGAGGAAGCCAGGCCTGGAGCCAGGGAAGGCAGCAAGAGGCTCCACGTGAGCAACCTTGGACAAGAACAAGGAGTAACCAAAGCATTTCCTTTACTGCAGGTGCTGCAGGAAAAGAGCCTCCTGGAAAGCTGGGCGAAGGAGCATGGGTCAGCCGTGATCCGGGATGGTGCTGGGTGCCAGCGTCCAAGGGCCTGCCTGTGCTCTGGGACAGAGGCCCTGGAGTCACAGCTTTAGAAGAACCAGGCAGGCAGAGGGATACCTCAGAATCCAGGACGCAGCCCGGGGGGAGCTTCTTGAGAGCACAGGGGGCAGGGCAGAGCCTGAAGGAGTCTCAGCTCCCAGCAGACACTTCACACAGGCCTCTAATGTGAATTCTTTCCAAATTTGGAATCACCGTGAAAATCACACATACACACACACACACACACACACACACACACACACACACGCTTCCTGCTAAGCCGCCCCAGTGTCCTGCCTCTGCCTTGGCCACTCGAGGCACCAGGAAGCACTGGAGGAGACCTAGAAGAGCTAGTAGCTCTTTCTGCACCTCCCACTCTCTCTCCAGCCTGTGGGACTCCAGTGACTGTTCTTTCTCTTCAATTATCCCAGTAAAAAGCCTAGTCAGGTGCTCACTGGAGCTCAGCAACCATGAGCGCAGAAGGATGAGGTCACCATCTGGAAAGAGGATCCCCCACCCCACCCCAGCCCATCCTCGCCCACCCTGCTCCCAGCAGACGCCCAGGCCTTCAGACAGAACTCATGGTGATCCCTAACAACACCCTGTGGCGGAAGGACATGCCCCCGTGCCTCCTCATAGAGCCTCGGAACTTGCTCCGGGTACTATCTTGATCTCACCCAGATTCACCAGTCCCTCTTCACCTCTGTCCCACCATCCACCTTTGGGGCAAATTCTTGATGGCACAGTGGTGGCTTGGGCAAAGGAGAACGACTTGGCCCCAGGAGAGACTGCCAAGCCCTGGAATTGGAGCAGAGGGTCTCTGACAGCAGTTGGGACCTCCATGCCTGTGCCTGAGCAAGGGCTTACAGGATATTGAGGCCAGAAGGTGCCATGATGGGGTTACAGATGGAGAGCCAGCTCTTGAGATTCAGAGTTCACTTAGAAGGTGGAGACAAAAGGTGCAGGGGTCAAGGCCAGCCTCAACACAGTCAATCTGTGACTAACAGGCTACAGAAGAACCTCTCCAAAACCAAACAAAAACCAAATATGCAATGTAGGGAAATGAAGCCTTACAGTCTTAGCCAAGTTTAAAGACCCAGTCGTGACCAGGGGGTGGTGGGACCCTATAAGCTCAGAGTTCAGAATGCCAAGGCAAGAGAACCATAAGTCGAAGGGCGAGCCTCAGCCCTGACCAAGACCCTGTCAGACAACGGGGAAGGGGCTGTGGAGACGCTCAGGGCTTGCAGAGGGCTGGGTTCAGTTCCCAGTGCCCACTCGGTGATCACCCCTGTCTGAGACTCAGGTCTACAGGACCCAGCCCCTCCTGAGCTCTGCGGGGGTTGACGCAGTGGTGCACAGGCGGGCACGCCAGCGAAAACCCAGACACGGAACACAGATCCCACAAGCTCCAGAAATAAAAACGGCCTGGCCGGAGGACGAGAGGTGAATAGCTATGAGTTTTAGACACCAGCCTGGTCTACATAGCCAGTTCCATGATAGCCAAGGCTTCAGAGTGTCTCAAAAACTAACCAAACAGAAACAATGGCTCAATGGTTAAGAGCACTGGCTGCTCTTCCAGAGGTCCTGAGTTCAATTCCTGGCGACCACATGGTGGCTCACAACCACCTATAATGTGATCTTATGTCCTCTTCTGATATGCAGGTGTACATGCAGATAGAGCACTCATCTACATAAAATAAATAAATCTTAAAACAACAAAATCTAAAGCAGCCAGCTGCCTGCCCTGGGCAGAGGGGGAAGTCCAGGCTTGTCAGCAGCTGCCATTAGGCTCTTGGTTATAACAAAAATACAACATGATACACAAAGATACATATAAGAAAGGACATTTTTTCTTTTTTGAAACAGGCTCTCACTACACATTCTAGGCTGGCCTTGAATTCACTGTGGGACCCAAGATGGCCTTGAATTTATAAGCCTCTTGCCTCTCCCTCCTGAGTGCTGAGACGACAGGCATTCCCCACCAGGCCTGTCTGGAACATCCTTTTATAAAAGAAGACTTCACTATAATCCTGGCAGCATCAGCGTGAGTCTCTGGAAGTAGAAACGTATGTTTGAAACTGCCACATCAGCGCCTAGAACACTGCATCTCTTACATTTGTGTGGGGACCGCCTGTGGCAAACCAGCCACAGTCTTAGAAAGAGCAGACTGATGAGGGTAAGAGGAGGAAGAAGAAAAGGAAGACTAAGAAGAGGAAGAGGAAGGAGGAGGGAGAAAAGAAAAAGAAGGAAAGGGGAAGAGAAGAAAGAAAGAAGAGGCCACAGAGAACAGAGGCAGGGTCCCACTGTCTCATACTAACGCCACCCCTGCCTCCCTCTTGGGAGGACTTAATGAGAGAATCTTCACCAATTCTAAGATTCAATGCTTGTCACGTGGAGAAGGGCTTCCACACACTGAACTGATATAAGGATGAAGGCACAATGAGGAAGGTGCAGGCCTCAGAAAGCCAGCTCAAGAGGGTGGCATCCAGTCCTCCCTCCCCTTGCCCAACTCCTGAATGTTTAAGGACTCTGGTGAATCATGGTAAGCAGAGAAAGGTGGGGAAGTCAGAGCCACGACGGCCTGTGTTCAGGAGCAGGGATCGTTACAACTGATGCTCCGTCAAACAAGCTTCTACACAGACACGCTCCTATTTGGACAGAATAAATTCCCTGCCTAGCAGAGTAGTAAAACACAAGGGAGCAGGAAGCAGAGAGCCTCCTCCACTTCCCCAAGGGTTCACACAGCCTCTGGCCTGCAGACCCCCATGCTCAGCTGTCGCCAGGCTAGGCCTGACTGCTGCATGTGGGGCGTGGGATTCCTGCCTCTTCTCAGGAGTCCTCCTCAGCAAACAGGGCTCCTGGGGTCCAGGAAAGCCATCTTCACAGTGGTTCACCAGCTTCCGCTAGCTCTAGCTCGCATTTTGCTATTTTATATAACAGGACACTCCCAGCAGGGGACATCTTCTGTCTGTAACCGTATCCTTGGCCTGCTCGCTGGCTGCTCTCCAGAGTAAAAAGAGAGCTTCACTTGGTCTTTTCCTTTACCAGGGAGACTAATTCATCCTGTGTCCTGGAAAGTCCCTTTAAGCCACAGCCAATCGCTTCCCTTTTCTCCTCTTGGCGCCAGATAAGCTGCTAAGAGAACTTCACTGTTCTCTGTAAGTTTCAGAGGTAAAAGTGACTGTCATAAAAAAGAAAAGGAGGAGGAAGAGGAGGAAGAGAAGAAGGAGAAGGAAGACAAGGAGGAGGAAGAAGATTGTCAAAAAAAAAAAAAAAAGTCTTGAAATGACTCACACTGAAAAGTCTGGCTGGTTGATTACAAATTCACTCACAGCTCCGTAAATCATTTGCTAGGGGGACAGGGTGGAGGAGGGGACTAAACATTGACAGGACAGGCAGGATGGAGCCCGGGGCTCCATGCTTCCTTGGAGTGGCTGGTGTTGCCCTGGTGACCTTACCTTTTGGTAAAGATGCTACAGGAGCTGAGTAATGATGGATTTTGGAAAGCCCCCTGCCTGCCCCTCCTGGCAGCAGAACAGGGACAGTACTCGGCAGCTGGACCTGAGGTCCCTTCTCCCATCTCTGCCCTGGCTGAGACGGCCCCATCCCACCCACCCGGCGCAGCCCGCCCTCTCCAGCCAAGCCACTGACCTTAGCCAGGAAGGCAGCGTTTCTGATGGCGCCCACCATCTCTCCCCCTTTGGGGTGGACCTTAGCGACACGCAGCCACATCCTCTCCCAGGTGTGGCTGTCGATCGGGAAGCCGCTCTTGTTCACGTGGAACAGCACCCCGCCGTCTTTGTCCTCCTCCTCCGAGCCCCCGCTGGTGGCGAGGCTCACGGGCCGCGCGTGGCTGCTCCGGGACCGGGTGCCTTTGGCACCTTTGGGATGGGGGCAGCGGTGAGTGTCGGCGGCGGAGCCGGTCATGGTGAGGGGCACGCGGCGGGGGGCGTGGGCACGTGGGCACGCCGGGAATCAGAGCCCCCCGGGGGCGGCCTTCATCTCTCGCGGCCGCAGGACGCGCGAAGGGAATCCCGCTCACCGGCCGGGCCTGGAGGCGGTGCAAACGGCACACACTGCGGCTCAGGGAGACGGGCACGGGGGTCCCGCCCACCCCCACCTCCTCGCATCCCGGCCCCAGACCCACCCCCTCGGGACAGCCGCGCGCCCCCAGCCGGGCCAGCTAGGCGGCCGGGCAGGCGCCACGAAGCCTCACACCCAGCCGCGCTCGGGGAGGCGCGGCATGCGGGGGGCGCGGGGTGGAAGGGACGGGGCAGGAGGCGGCCGAGGAGCACGGAGACACGAGGGCCCCCGCAGCCCCGCGCACGCCGGGCTGGACCGCGTGCGACCCAGAGCAAGCTGGCACGTGAGCGCCCGGGGCTGGCGCGAGGGCGCCGCGGCCGCCGGCTCAGGAGGCCTGGCGTCTTCCCGGAAGCCCCCCGAGCCCCGGCGCGCGAGGGGCGGCTCCCGCCGGGCTTCCCGGGCGGGCGCGGCGCCGCCCCCTGCCCCCGGGCGGACTCCGCGGGGGGCGCGCGCGCGGGGCGCGGGGACCCACCTCGGGCGGGCCTCATTGCTGCAGAGGGCTCCCGGGGCTGCGGCGACCGTCGCCTCATTCCATGTCCCATTCTCGAATGTTATTCCGTGACAGATAACCGAGTCACCCGGGCAGCCGCCGATGTTCCGGACGCGCCCATTGGACACCGCAACAAAGAGGGGCGGGGCCTGGACCTGGGACTCCACAGCGCCGAGCCGTGCGGCTCCGCCATTGGCTGCAGCATTCCCGGGCAGGCGGGGCTCCGAGTCCGGGAAGCTGGGCCGCCACGCGAAGTCCGATGCTGCGGTGTCCCGGGAGCCCCGCGGAGGGGAGCCACCGGCCAGGGTCTGAAGTCCCGCTTCCCCGGGGCGGAGGCAGCAGCGGAGGCCCCGAGGTGTGATTCAGTGGTAGAGGGTTTGGCCGTTGGAGCAGCGTTCGCCGAGGGGTGGGCACAGCGACCTGGCCCTTCACAGGGCTCGGGAGATGCCCGACTTCAGCGAATCCTCCGGGACAAGTTTCTCCCCAGATTAGCAAATGCGGACGGCCTTGCACCCTCTGTTAGTAGTCGTGTAACACGGTTCCTCAACCCAGGCTGCTACGAGACACGAGGCCGGTGACGCCCCTTCCGTTCTGCCTGGTTTGTGGAGGGATGCTTGAAGCCAAGGAGGGGCCTTCCCACGGCCCCACTAAAACACGGCCTTCCTCCTCCTCCTCCTCCTCCTCCTCCTCCTCCTCCTCCTCCTCCTCCTCCTCCTCATCTTCCTCTTCTCCTCCTCTTCATCTTCCTCTTCTCCTCCTCCTTTTCACTCCTCCACCTTTTCCCTCAGCCTCCTTCTCTTCTTTGTCTTCTCTTCATCTTCTTTTCTTTTTCTTTTTTGAGACACGGTCTCACAGCACCCAGGCTAGCCTCAGACTTGCTGTGTAGAGAAGGATGACCTTGAACTCCTGGCCCTGTCCTCAGCTTTCAAGTGCTGGAATAACAGGGGCCTCTCATGTCCCATTCATGCAGCGCTGGAGATGGCACCCAAGGTTGTGGGAGGCAAGTACTCTACCAAATGAACCACATTGTGTGTGTGTGTGTGTGTGTGTGTGCACATATACTGTGAGGCTGGAGAGTTGGCCCAGCCAGTCGAGATCACTGTTTTCATGGAGGATTGGCATTCTGGTTTTCAGCACCCATTCCCAGCTCCAGAAAGAGTGAGCGCTTCACCTTCCTGCTTTGAAATGCCCTGCAACTCGCTGACAGTCCCCAGGGCTCTGGTTGCTGTTTTCTCCTTCCCACAGAAGGGGTGAGCCGGGTGGTCTGTGAAGATAGACGCAAAATTCAGCAACTTTTGCAAGGGAGTAGGTGCAGGCTCCAGAGTGAAATCACTGTGCAGGTGCCCACGGCCTCTTCACTGAGAGCTGAGCTGAGGAACAACACGACTGTGAGCAAGGGCCAAAATCCCAACCGCACGTTTAAATGATGTCTGTGGCCTAGGTTCTTTTCATTGCAGCTGCTGTGGCTTTAAGTGTTAAGTGACTCTGTAGCTGACGCGTGATTCCTTGATATCCAGATGACGGCACTGCTTTAAAAGGCCATCTGACCCTTAGGAGTTGGAGCCTCACTTGAGGAGGTTATGGAGATTAGGAACTAAGGTTGTATAGCCCAGGCCCACTCCCACCCTGCTCTCTGCTTCTTGTTCCTCCCAGGTCTGAGGAGAGGGTCCCAGCTGCTGACACCGTGGAACCACCCACCACCACGGCGGGCTGCTCCCCACCGCCACCCTCCTCCCCACCCGCCACCCTCCTCCCCACCCACCACCATCCTCCCTCCCCACCCACCACCCTCCTCCCCCCCCACCCCCCCCCCCCCTCCCCGCCCCCCTCCTCCCCACCTACCACCATCCTCCCCACCCACCACCACAGCGGGCTGCCTCCCCACGAACTCTGAGCCGAAATCAACTCCTCTTAAGTCGCTTAGTGCCAAGGAGCTGAGAAAGTACCTACAAGAAGGAAGTGCCTGTCTTCTAAAGACGGTACCACCACCCGGGACTCTCAACTGGCCTCTAGGGACCGAAGCTGTGATACCAGGGAGCCCAGGCAAGGAGCCTAGTATGTGTCAGCTGGGCCTCACTGTGACCCTGAGACGCTACACAGGCAGCTTTGGAGAAATCTGCGCCTCACACGTCTCACTGTCTGTTAGTCAAGACTGATTGATGAGCAACTGTCCGGCAGAAGCAATAAGCATTTGAAACAGTACTCAGGCATGCAAAGGGGCACCTAGCTCAGAGGAGCTGGGAGGGGTCTTCCTCTGGAAGCACAGAAGGAGACCCACACAGTGGGGGCTGGAATTGTGTATGCCCCTGCACTGAATCTGCATGCCGATGTTCTAACCCCCAGCGCCTCAGATTTGGAAAGGTCACTGAGAGGTAATGAGTTATGATGAGCTCATACAAAAGGGGTTGGCCTGCTGCTCTAGTGTGAACGGTAGCCTCATGAGAAGGGGGGAATTTAGATGCAGAGACAGCTGGGTACATGAGGAAGGTGGTGTGAAGACTGGAGCCACACCCCCACCGTGAAGGAATCTGGGGGGGCCAGGGGAAAGATGTGGCACCGACTGGCCCTCCCAGGGAGCAGGCTCGGACCTCAGATTCCTTCCAGCCTCCAGCAGGATGGGTGGTCAGCCTCTGCTTCACCAGGCTGCCTGCAAGCCCTGACTTTTCCATGCAATGTCAACACCAACATTTGGTAACTCATGACATTCCGCAAGATTGGTCTAAGACGGACTTTCAAAGCTCCCCTTCCTCTGGGATGCTTTCTGTATTCCGTGACTGTCAGGCTTGAGTGCGAACTGTCCCTCTCGGCTGCACATGCTGAGTACAGTCCCCTGGATGCTATTGTGTGGGGACATGCTGGAGACGGAACCGGCAGAGCCTAATTGAGGAAAGCAGTCTGCTGGACATGTGTCCTTGGGGACACGTGTGCCCTGGCCCAGGCCTCTCTGCTTCTTGGCTCCTGCACAGAGAGCAGCTCCCCTGTCCTTGTCCTTCAGCCATCAAGTGCAGCTTCTCTTGGCTCGGAAACAGTAGAGCTGGGGACCACGTGCAGAAACCTCGGGGGCTGGGAGCGGCTGCCTCTTTTAAACTTCGTCTGTGAGGAATTTTTGGTGGTGATGGGAAATCAAAGCCAAGCTCTGAACCACACCAGCTACCAATGGTTCGCACGGGGCTTCCGTTGCTCCCTGGTTGTTCGGGGAGTGGGTCTTGCCATGTAAGGAACAAAGGCAACAGCCACCCACCCAGTGCTTGGTCTGTGCTGAGCGCAACGTGAGCCCTTCACACGTAGCCTGTCACGTAATGCTCACAAGGACCCTGCAAGTTTTGAACTAGCCCTCGGAAAGCTTGTGTAATTTGTCGCAGGCACAGACAGCAAAGCTGAAGTTTGGATGTCCAGTGTCTTCCCTAATGCCTCTGAGCTCAATTCTTGGACCCAATGTTGGTGCTGTTCTCAAGTGGTAGAGACTGTGACATGGGACCTCGAGGGAGGTTTCGGGTCCTTGCAGGGGACTACGGGACTCACACTCCCCTGATGTCCAATCCTCAGAGGCCAAAAAGAAAGTATGCGGGCCCACCAGTGACTGGCACCTCCCCAACGGTGCATCAAAATAAACCTGCTCTTTCTAAGCTGGTTGCCTTGTGTGCACCCCAGCGGCAGAGAGCTGATTGTCGCAGGAAATGACAAAATGGGCCTGTTGAGCCTCTACTTAGAATGGTAAAAGCGTAACAATGTAAAATTTCCCCCCAGGAAGTGTAAACAGTGCACCTGTTTCTACACTGAGCTTTTTTTGTTTGCTTGTTTTTCTGTCTGTCTGTTCCACAGTTGCGGTCTTGGTCACCGCAGTCTCCCACGCTCGAGGCAAGCAGGAGCTTCTGGGTGAAGCTCACTGCTCCCTTCCTGCCAAGGTTCCAATTTCTGACAATTTGATATCAAAACGAATCCCGACACTGATTCCGCTGCCTCAGTTTCTGACATGGCTCTTCTGTTGTTGTCAGTGCTCAGGCTCCAACCCAGCGGGCTGCATCCCAGACCCGCGTTTTCTGTTTTGGTGTGTACATGTGTGTGAGTGTGCTCATCCGTGGACACTCATGGAGTCCAGAGGCTGGTGTCGAGACCAAGTGCCACTCCACTTTATTTTCCAAATTACAGTTATTTTCTGATTTGTGTGTGTGCACAGGCCCATGTGTGTGGAGCCAGAGGAGAATTTTCACACGTTGATTCTCTCCTTCCACCTTGGGGGGGTCCTAGGGCTCAAAACTGGAGCATCCGGCTTAGCTGCAAACACCCTCCGGAGCCATTCCCCACCCCCGGCCTTATTTTCGAGGGTCTCTCACTGAGCCTGGGACTCACCGTTTCAGCCAGACTGACTGTTGAACGCCCATGGCCCACTTTTCTCCACCCTAACTCACTAGCACTGGGTTAGGGCAGACACAGTCACAGAGTTTGGGATTGTTTGTTTGTTTGATTGGTTGGTTGGTGGTTGTTTGTTTGTTTGTGACAGATTCATGTTATGGAGATTAGGCTGGCCTCAAAATCATAGAAACCTGTAAGCCTTTGTATCCCGGGATTAACGGCTATGCCACCATGCCAGAGTCACGTGGTGTGTCACGTGGTGTATGACACTAGTCCTCCTACCTGCACAGCGAGCACTTTCCCCACAGCACACCTCCACAGCACCTGACTCTTTATTAGCAAGGGAAAAAAGATGGACTTACTAGCCACAGGCATTTCCTGGCTGTCCTTGTCAAAGAGTTATATTGCTTGTCACAGGAGGCCTTGGGTTCAGTGCTCGGCACTGAAAAATAGCAAAACCCACTGTTTACTTCTTTACTTCTCCAACTTGTCCCTTGTTTGGGGGCTGCTGGAGAAGGAATGTGAAGGAGAGTCAGAAACTAAAATAAGGACAGAAGCTGGGTCCCCAAAACCCGCAGGCAGCACCAGGGCCCTGACACCGGTCCTTCGTCGGGTCCAATGTTGTAAGGTGCTTTGAGGACACTTGGCTAGAAAGAGCAAACACGACTTTCTTGGATGGCAGCTCC